TAGAGGCCAGAATGGTGCTAAGTACCCAGCAGCGCAAGGTCTGTCCTCCTTGCCAACAAAGAAGTGCGGCAGCCCACATGGTAATGAGGTTGAGAAGCCCTGGTTTAGTGCCTGAGGTGATCGGGTCTGACTTTGTGTTAGCAGGATCAGTCTGGTTGTGTTGGAAGCAGCTTTATAAGCGGCAGAGCAGAAGCAGAGGCTCTGTGAATTCAGGTGAGAAATGACTCGGCCTCGGACCATGGGGGTAGAAGATCTACTCTGCAGTTCAGTGTTCCCTGTTCTCTCCTTCCTGCCCCTTCCCTCTTTCTCTCTCTACTTTCTCTTTTTTAAAAAAGATTTTATTTATTTATTTTTGGAGAGGGGAAGGGAAAGAGAAAGAGAGGGAGAGAAACATCATTGTGTGGTTGCCTTCCACATGCCCCCACAAGGGGCATGGGGACACGGCCTGCAACCCAGGCATGTGCCCTGACAGGGAATAGAACTGGCGACCCTTTGGTTTGCAAGCCAGCACTCAGTCCACTGAGACACATCAGCAAGGGCCCCACTTTCTCAATAAACATCTACAGAACCCTTACGAGGTGCCCGGGAGGTTCCACAGACGTGGCCCACTAGGAACCCCATCTACTTAGACTTAAGCTGAAGAGAAGGGAGCTGCCGGGAGTAGCCGCTGACGTGGGGAGACTTTGGGAAGTCCACTTGGGGCTTTAGATGGAGCTCTGCGACACCTGTCCCTAGTTGCCATCTACTCAGACACTAAAGAAAGCACAGAATGAGTACTGGGTGGGTGAAGTGTTCATCCGGCTGCAAATCCAACACCTTGGAAATCATCCTAACGCCTCTGCCTCCCTGACCTCTAGCCCCTCTGCCTCCTGGCACACACCCCCGGTTCCTCCCAAATATCTCAAACCGGGTCACATCACTCCATCTCTGTTGTAACAAGTCCAGTCCAAGCTACTGTCATTTCCCACCTGGTCTCTTTGTTGTCACTCTTTCGCCTATTTGATGAGTGTGTACATTTACTTTCCTTTGATTATCAGTGAAGTTGGCCTCTTTTCCTAAGTTTATTGGTGACTGCTCTTCTGTACTCTGGTTGTTTATATGTTTTTGCCCATTTTTCTATTTAGTTATTTTCTTACTGATTTGTGGCAGTTCTTGATTCTGGACAGCAATCCTTGTTTGGTTAATTTCTTACAAATATCTTTTCCCAGTCTATGGTTTGCCTTGTCACTGTTTTTGCGGTGTCTTTTGATGAATGTAGGTTCTTCATTTGAAGGTAGTTAGATTTATCATTCTTTTATTGTATAGTGTGTGCTTTTTGTTTTATGTAAGAAAACTCACCATATTCTGATGTCATAAAATGATGCTCTTATATTTTTTCCAAAAGATCAAACGATTTGTCTTTCATGTTTAGTTTTTTTATTCACCTGAAATTGATTTTTGCATTTGGTCTGAGGTAGAAATCTAATTCAAATATTTTTCTCACATGGACAATTGCATTAGTTTCCTATTGCTGCTGTATCAAATCACCATCATTCTCGCGGCTTAAAACAACACAAATGTATTACCTTACAGTTCTGGAAGTGAGAACTGGGTTTCGCTGGGCCAGTATCAAGGTGTTGGCAGGGCTGCATGTCCATCTGGGGGCTCCAGGGGTGTTGAGTTTTTGCTTTTCTCCTCCTCCAGATCGTAGGGGCTGCCCACTCGGTGCCTCTGCACCCTCAAGGCCAGCAGTGGCCAGTCAAGTTTCTCTTGCCTCGCCTCTCTGACATGGACCCTCCTGCCTTCCCCCTTCACTCATAAGCACCCTGGCGATTACATCGGGCCCACCTGGATAATCCAAGATAGTCCCTCCAGCTTCAAGATTTTTCAGTCACATCTTCAAAGTGCCTTCTGCCATGTATGTTAACATAGTCACAGGTTCAAGGGATGAGCATGTGCACATCTTTGGGAGACCATTGTTCTGTCTCTTACAATAATCAATTGATTCAATGCAATTTATTAGATATTTTCTGAAGCTGGGTATGAGGGGAGGACACCGGTCTAGTGGTGTCCTCACCACTAGAGTACTGACTTTGTGCCAGGAATTTCTCTAAGCATTGTATACATATTATCTCATTTAATTCGCACAACAAGGCTTTGTGTTACATGCTACTTATATTCTCGCCTTAGAGATGAGTAAAGTGAGGGAAAGAGTGATTAAGTACCTTGCTCATAGCAGGAAGTGGCAAAATCCCCAGCAATTTGGAGTTGGGCTCCAAATTCCATGTGCTTAATAATCATGCTATTGCTGAACGAACTAATAAAGTGAATACATTTAGTTTCCATTAGGTGTGTGGCACAGCCTAAGTCACATCATTTCTCTGAGCCTCACTTTCATTATCTGTAGAATTGGATTAGTGTGCATGTCTTCTGTGCATCACAGGCCTGCTTCTAGGGCACACTGAGACGAGTCTTAAGAAAGCAGTTCAGATAAGGAAAGCAGGCTCCCAGATTGTTCCACTGTGTGTTGCTGGCAGAGTCAGGACCGGGACTCAGGTTTCCTGGCAGCCAGGCGAGGAGGGGGCCATTGCCACCACAGGGTGGTAACTGCAGCAGTCAGAGATCACTGTCATCCAATGGCACATTCTCTTTCACCCACCCCCTGCGCTGGAACAGCTAGCATCAAAGCCATGTCTCTGTGGGTCCAATTAATTGTAGGTAAGTATGTCATGGAACCTCTGATGATGCTGTTACAAAATCCAAATATAATATAATACTTTTAGCTGAAACAGGGTTAGGTTTGCAAACATTATTCAGTATCAGACCTAACTGTGATAGGCAAGAGTAAGAAGTTAAATAGAGGAAAATGTAGGAGAATATTTTGTGACCGTGGGTGGAAAAAATCCTTAAACAACACCCCAAAGCATATTCTACAAGGCTAAAATTTGATGCATTTGGCTACACCAAAATTAAGGATTTCTCCTATCTGTTAGATAGCAAAAACCAAGTTAATAGGGTACATGAAATATTGGAAGATTTTGTAATGCCTGAGCCTGATAAGGGATTAATATTTAGAATATATAATAAGTCTTTCAATTTGTTCAGAAAAATAATAGGAAATGCAGCAGAAAATAGGCAAAGAATGTCAATAGGCACTTCACAGACAGAAAAAGATCTCAATGGTTCTTAAGGATATATGGAAAAATGATTACCATCACTAATCAAAGAACTACACATCAAAATTACACTGTGATGTTACTCTACCAATATCAGACTGATATAAATGGGGACATCAGGTAATACCAAATGTTACTGTATACAGTGGGGGAACAGGAGTATTCCTACCTTTAGGTGTCAAAATGTGCAACATGACAAAGCCATTCTGGAGAGCAACATGTGGCAGAGTGACACCAAGTACTTGCAGACTCCATGGCCCAGCAGTTCCATTTGTCTTGTGGTCCATAAGAGATGTGTCCCATCCCAGAACTATCTGTGGTACCAAGGAACTGCTGGCAGCGTAACTGTCCATTATTTAAGGAACTGATATGTAAAATATGTTAGATGCACAAATACTACCATCAATGGCAGGAATTCATGAACTCCTACCCACAAGCCCCATCAGTAGCTCTCTGAAGCATTATGCTGAGGAAAAACAAGAAACAGAGTGAGTTCTTAGCACAAGATCATGCATTTATATTAAAAAATAGATACATAGTCCTGGCCAGGTGACTCATGTGGTTGGAGCATCTTACTGTGCACACAAAGGTTGCAGGTTCACTTCCCAGTTGGAGCACATACCTAGGTTTCAAGTTTAATCCCCAGTCTGGGTGCCTACAGGAGACAACTGATGGATGTTTCTCTCTCTTCCTCTCTCTCTAAAATCAGTAAACATATTATCAAGTGAGGATTAAAAAATAGATACATTAACTAAAACCAGTATCTTTCTAGGATATATACTTGTACTGGGACGTAAACATATGAAAGAGGGTGCAAATGGGTGGTAGGGAAATGGGCCTACGGAGAGGGAATGAGTGGAAAATAAGTAAAAAAGAGAGAGGGAGTGAGCAAGCCTTGCTAACCCTTCTGAGCTGAAGAGTGTATCAGCGAGACCCAAAAACTCGCCCCAGTCGCTCTTTCATCCCTTCCAATTCTTAACAGAATCAAATGCAAGTGACTCAACGTGGCTGCCCAGAGAAAAGCCTCTCTGCATGAAGAACTTGACTCCCTTCACTACAGGCACTCCAAGTTCTACTCTGACCGGAAGTCCCACAACCAAAACACGTCCAGGCTTCAGTCCGCAATCGCCTTAGACTTACTGCTTATTTCTCCTGGAAAATTCCTATTGATCGTTTAAGATTCAGTTTAAGTTTTCCCCTCCAGAAGTCCTTTCCTGCCTGCTGCACTTTCCCAAATGCCAGCCTCTTCAGGACCTCATTTCCATACCCCCTTCCCCATCACCCCCGTGCAAGCCTCAATGCAATTGCTTATTTTGGGTTTATATCCCTCCCCCAGAGATAGCGCTGAACTAGCCAGCTGCCACAAGCCATCCCAGGAATAACGAGAAGGTTACTCCAGTCTAGCCGGTTAAACGAGACCCCCGCCCACCTCTTTTTTTCTTCGCTTCCCCTCTCATTGGTTCAACTTCGCCGCCCGCCCAGCCAGCCCGCCCCAACACGTCTCCAACGCGGCCCCAGTACCCCGCCCCAGCCCGCCCACTACACGCCCCCAATCTGGTCCCCGCCAGTTCGGACAGTGGAAGGCTCTGCGCACGCGCGGCGGGTTGGGGCGCGCTGGGTGGAGGGCTGAGAGTACGGAAGAGCTTTTGGGGCGCCGAGTTGTGAGGCGGTTGCGTCCGACCCGCTAGCGCGCGGCTCCGGGGAGGGGGCGGGACTGAGGCGGGCACCGTGGCACTCCCCGCCCTAGCCCCGCCCCCTCAGGCCGCCCGCGCGCCCGCCCCGCCCCCTCACCGTGCCTGCCCCGCCCCCTCGGCAGCCGCGCTCCAGCTCTCTCTGCCGGCTCGCCGCTCGCCGCCCGCCGAGTTCCCGCGGCCGAGAGTGGGTGAAAGTCCTGCTGCCGGGCGCCCGCGGGGCTGCGCGCGTCCGGCATCCCGGGGCCGCTCCGGCCCGGGCGGCGAGGGGGCCCGGCGGTCCATGCATCCGCCGCCGCCGGCCGCCGCCGCCGCGATGGATTTCAGTCAGAACAGCCTGTTCGGCTACATGGAGGACCTGCAGGAGCTCACCATCATCGAGAGGCCGGTCCGCCGGAGCCTCAAGGTGCGCTCCCCGGGGAGGAAGACCTGCCCGCAGGGCGCCCGGAGGCTGGCCCGGGACCCGACCCCCGTCCCGTCCCGAGGCGGCCCCCTCTCGGTGTTCGGCGGGCCCCTCGGTGCTCCTCCGGTCGCCGTGTCACACGAAACCCGCCCTTCCCGCGGCCCCTTCTTCGACGCACCCCCAGTTCTCCCAGCTTGGACCCCCATCCTCGAGGGACGGGCCGCTGGCTTTCTCCCCTGACCCGCGCCGGCCCGCGGCTCCAGGGCACTCTCGGTGCCCCAGTGCCCGTCCCCAGCCTGCCCCAGAAACGGCCGGCCGAGCCCGTCCTTCGGACCGGCCCGCGTCTCCCCCGCCCCCCGCGCCGCCCCTCTCGGGCGGCCGCGGCCCCTGCGGGGCGGCCCCCTTCCTCACGCCGCTGCAGGAGCTCCTCCTCGGGGCAGCCGGCTTCTCCCGGGTCCTCTCCTGGGTGCCCCTCCCGGTCCCCTGGTGCCGCCGCGGTTCTGGCCCCAGTCCCACTCCTCGGTGAACACAGCCGCGATTGCGCGCCCCCCGCCTCTCCTTGAGACACCCCAGATCCCACCCCCTTTCTCCCCTCATAGCAAGCCCGCGTCCCCCTGCCCCGCAGTCCTCCCGGGCCTCCCTTCCCCGCCAGCACCCACACCAGAGCCGTCCTGCTGCCGATCTTCAAAGCCCCGTCGGCCTTTTCTGCCTTCATCCTGAGTCACCACAGGTCCTTCCCCTCCCTACCCCCCCAGCCCCTCCACGATTCCAGTCGGGACCCTGCTCCCCACCCCCGTGGAGGGAGTCGACCTTCACTGGCTCCCCCTGCCCCCGCCGGCTCCCCACCCGGCGAAGTCATCCTCCTCCCAAGCCTCCCAGAGGCCCCAACCCTCGCTGCTGGCAAACCTAGTTTACGGACCCCCGCCCCCAGCCATCCTCGTAATAGCTCCCTCAGCCCTTCTCACTCCCACCTGCCGCAATAGCTCGAGTCTTTGATTTCCTTCCAGCCCCAGATTTTATTCCCTCTCCCCCCCCCCCCAAGATTTCTTTTTTCTTTTTGGTTCTCACTGGGCTGCAGTCCTCATCCATCACCCTTTCAGTATTTCCTGGGGTGGAAAATGCTGGAGAAACAGCCTTGGGGTATTAGGGAGAAAAGTATGTATACATTTTTATATAAAATTGACTTCAGCAATGTTCCGAAGCCACGATGTGGTTTTCAAGCTTCAATCTAGAAGCTAGAGGAGGGAGAGAGAAGAAACAAACAAAAACCAAACCCCAAACCTCCACAACCCAAACTCAACAATTAGAGACAATTAGAGAGACCTCCTTGGTTGGCGTGATCACCTAGAGTCCTCAGACCCTTGATTAGTTTTCAGTGATGATGCTTAAATCAGTGGTGAAACTTTTTCGTTAGTCGGTAGTAGTTATATGGGGTCCCTGGAGCAGCCTTGGGAGGGGGGAGGCAAAACTGATGGATGTTGTGAGCATAATTTCTCCTTTACCCTTGACAGACACCAGAAGAAATAGAAAGACTGACAGTTGATGAAGATCTCAGTGATATTGAAAGGGCTGTTTATCTGCTCAGGTATTTCTGAATGTCCTTTTGTGAAATTGCTGCCCTTTCCCTGCGGCAGATGAACGCCTTCTGAAATGTCATGTTCAGTTCTGTTCAGGTTTGCTTAACCGTTTGAGTAGGAGCATTTTTGCATGCATAGCACTTCATTATGTTACAAAGTAAGATCTACATATGGGCTTATACATTTGAGAACTAAAATGAAGTCAGATCCTTAACTTAAAGAATATTGCTTGGAAGAGGAGGAATAGAGTTAATGGTTTGAGTTGAATCTCATTCTCGTTTTCATTTTCCAGCTTTGGTGATTCTCACATAACATCCAATAAGTTTAGATGAGACTTGAGGATATCCAGGAATTAATTTAAGTTAATCGTAGAGTGTGAACCTTATATACTATTACTATATAGAAAAAATTCCACAAGTTCAATTTGTTGCTCAGAATATACTGTTCATATTAACTTTTGTTATGTGAGCTTTATAATAATGCTCGAGAGATCATAAAATTTAATTGCATCTATTCTCATTTAAGTTTTATCTCCCAAGCTCTACAGAATTGCTGAAGTTGTGGGGTTAGTTTCTTAAAAGCTAATGTGGCAAACATTAACGACCATATCTATGAAAATACTTCAGAAAGAGAAAATTTCCCAAGATTTTTTGCATACCTTTGTTTTAAAATTTTTCTTTAACTTGAACAGTATGTTTTCCCTGTTTTATCCGATCAGTTTTCACTTTTGTTTTTCAGTATCAGATTTTGCAAAGTGGTATTATTTCCCCCCCCAGGTTGCTTGTCATCCCTGTTTGCTTAGCTTAGGTCTGCTTTACCTGTTCAGGCGCTGGCAAGTTACTTGTTCTTCTTTCTTGCCTATAGATCATGTTTCTAATCCCGTATTATTCATCCAAGGATGCTGTAAAAAAAATCCCTGTCCATGACGTCCATTATAAAAATGATTCTTTAGCCTATAGTGACATCTTGGGGTTTTGTTCTTAGTTTAGTCAGAATTTCAGCATGCTTACAATTTAGACTGTCTTCTCTAATAATTCTGTCACTTTAAAGGGTTTCTGGATCTTGGACCTTATGTTGTTGTTATCATTTTCACCCATTTATTTAAAAGATAACTGTTATTGATGTTTAAATCAACAGCATCTGTTTTGGTGTTTACATAGAGAATAACTCAACATTTAACCTGTTTTGATATTTTATTGTTATATTCAGTGTACTTTATTCCTTAATGATTACAACATGGTGAGCAGTAGTTACAAGCATATGTCTTTTCCCACAGTTCTTCGGTTTGGTAGGTAGACAATGGTGTAAAAGTTTGGATAAGTGTATTTTAACATATAGCAGTTAATGATTTGAAATAAGTTCCTGCTGACTCCTACTGAATTCTTTTCTTTGTATAAATGCTGGCTTACATTTAGGCAATGGAGAGTCTTGCTCTACTTAACTTGCGACAGCAGATACCTTATTCTAGATATCAGCGACAAGGCTGCTTTTTCAGGATAGCTTATTTGTTTTCTATTTTACTTTTATTGTTTGTTAGGGAACCTGGCCTTCTGAGTTGTCAGTATTTCTCAGACACAGAACGTAAGTTTCATCCAGTCCTGGAACTGACAAAGCCCTGTCAGAGACAAATGGGTCCTCTCATTCTTACACGAGAGAATTTTAAAGAGATCCGATATCTCCTTTAGTTTCTTGTGGCTCATCTACCTTGAAGGAGGTTTGCAAGGTGACTGAGAAGGCGAACACTGGTTTGGTTGTGTCTGGGTATCTAGCCGAGTGCGTCTTTTGTGTTCCTAACATCTCACCACCTCCTGGGGGAAAGTGGGATTTCACCTCTGGGCCAGATTCTGAAGGGATAACACCAAGACTGCCTGAAAGGCTCTTTCTTCTCTGGGATTCAGGGGAGGCTGTGGGATTGTCTGTGGGCATTTTCCAAACTTGGCCTCTGTTTAAGCCTCATCTGCTCTCAGCTAGTGAGCCTTTTAATGAGCCTGCTATTTTAAATGTAAATTTTTCCTTTTTTAAAAAAAGTTGCACTCCGCAATGCTGTAGAACCTAATACTGAGTCCTGTTTTGTATTTTTTTCTCTCTCTGTGATTTTCGGGCTTATTTTGATCTTTAATACCCAGATTTCTTTTTCTCTGTGCTTTTGAGTGTCAGATTTGTTTCTCTAGCTCTCTTATTTTGTATATTAAAACTATTTTGGAGTATATAAATGGAGATTCTGATAGCATTTAAATTGAATCTGATATTAAAAAAATCATATACAGAGCACTGTCATCCAATGAAAAACAAATTACACTGTTCATTATCTTACCCTGAAGTATGGTAGATCAGTTATTAATGCTATTTTCACAATTAAGTGTAGAACATTATGGTATTTAAAGATTTGACACAGTTGAGTTTGTGGTTTTGCATAAATATGATGCTGATATACCCATCTGTGGCATTTAGCACTGAAGCAAAACAACTTTCCTAATAGTCACAGCTTGTGAATTAGTCAAAATCATGCCACAACATCTTTTCCTGTTCTCTATCTTCTTTGTAATTTTGGCATATATTTTAGGAATGTACTTAAAACATATGAATTATTTTCTTAGAGATATGTATAGATGCTGTGCTTTCATGAGGTAAATCTCTACTCATATCTCCAGTTGCATAAGATAAATAATTTCAGACTTGTAAACTTGGCATAAGCAACTCCATCTTAGCTGTGCAGCGTGGTGTCCTACTGGGTCCTCACTTTGTTTTAATGGCTTGATTGAGATGCAGTTCACATACCATCCAGTTCATCCATTTAAACTGTAGTGTTCAGTGGTTTTTAGTATATTCCGAATAGCATTACCATCACCACAATCAACCTCAGAGCATTTTTGTTGCCCCAGTAAGAAACCCTGTACCTATTAGCAGTTGCCCTCTACTTCTTCCAAACCTTTCCAGCCTTTGGGAACCACTAGTCTACTTTCTGTGTCTACAAATTTGCTTATTTTGAACCTTTTATGTGAATTAAATCACACAATATGTGGCCTTTTGTGACTGACTTCTTTCACTTCTCATGTTTTTAAGTTTCATCTATGTTGTAGCAAGAATCAGTACTTTATTCCTTTTTATTGGTGAACAGTGTTCTCTTGTGCAGGTATATCCATCCATTTTGTTGTTCATTCATCAGCTGGTGGAGACTTGGGTTGTCTCCCCTCAGCCCTTCACTATCTGGAACAGCCGTGCTGGCCTCTTCACTGAGTCTTAGATATATTGTGTTCGTCCTTACCTCCGCTCTTCCCCATCCTGGACTACCCTTTCGTTATATCTCTTGAACATTTTCCATCCCTGGGATCCGGCTGTAATCTTGCATCTTTCATAAGGCCTTTCTCGACTGCTGAAACCACATGGATCCTGGGTTTCTTTGAGCTCCCGTATCACTTACTGGCTATATCCCTCAATTAATTAATTATTATTTTGTATTCCCTAACGTGTGTGAGTGTGTGTATACATTTTCCTTAACAGGAAATCTCCAAGCTCTTGGAGGAAAGCTTTGCAAGCTCTTGGAGGACAAACCATGTTTTATATTGTTGCTCTTTTGGTTCTTTCTTGTTCTTTGCTGTGATATAAATATGTACCTTTTGGTAGAATAAAGTGTGTTTATTTGAAGATGACCGAAATGCCAGGTGGGTTAAGCAACTTCTGATTTTTTTGTATCATGTGCAGTAGAATCAGACAGATTTAAGTTATATCCTGTTCTACCTTTTATCATCTGCATGACTATGGGCAAGTTACTTAGGGTTGTTAAGCCCTTGTTTTCTCATCTGTAAATGGGAATAATTTCTGTTCCCTGAGGTTGTTGCATTATGTGTAGAGCCCCTGCCACAGAATAGGTACCTAATGAATGTTAATTCCCTGTCACCTTTCCCTACTTCCTTGCTACTTAAGTGCTCATGGTAAATTTCAAACTTTAAAAGAGGATAACAGGATAATTTTACCTTCCAAGGATTTAATAAAGTAAATAACAGGCAAGTGAAGTATATGAGCTGAAGTTTGTGGTAAATATCTATTAAGTTTCTTTGCTAGTAGTATTTATTAGAAACCAGAATCTTCACAAATTATATCATTTTAAACTGAGTTAGAATTAAGGTCAGCTTGTATTGCAGGGTTTTTTTTTTTTTTTTTTTTACCTCAAGCAGTATTTGTTATTTACGTTATGTGTTAAATGTGTGGACTGGTTAATGTACCAAACCTAACATTTATGTTGCTTACATTTGCAATCACTCATCACTTTTAAACAGTTTTTCACTTTGCGCTATGAATTTAAAAACATTTTGCACTTTACTGTCCAGGGATGGTCAGGATAAAAGTGCACTTGTAGAACTTCTTCCCTTTTCTTTCTCTTCCTATTTTTTAAGGAGTATGTGCTCCCCCTAGTGCTATCACAGAGTGAGAATTCCACAGCCAAACCTGGAAATAAACACAAGTTAAGGTCTGACTGTATCAAGTGGTAAAAATCCTAACTCTCTTAGAATTAGGGTTCCCTGAAGGATATTCAACCATTGAAGATGTGGGAGGCGTGGAGAAAAAAAGGGTCAGGACTTAGTTCTTCACAGTCACTGCTTTTGGTTTTATCCTTTGGTACGTGGTAATCATGTCAGAAATAATGGCAAAACTTGTTACCGCTCCTGTGTGGATGTGACTTACAGCATGACTTTTCACCCATATCAGAGAGAGATGTTAATAATGTGAACTATTCGTAACTCAACTAATAGTTACTTTAGAAGAAGACGTACCAATCTGTTGAGTATTTACTCTTTGTTAGGCATCTCTGGGGAGAATGAATGGCATTGTACCAGCAGATACTTGTGTTTAAAGAAGTATTCATTTAAGAAAGCAAATGCATTTTTTAAAAATTTCAATAAAATGGAGTTCATACCCAATCACCAAGTGTGTTGGGCATTGAGAAGGTGTATTCTGTGTCAGAAATGTTAAGAAGACGCATCCAGATTGATTCTCGGGGCCGAGTCTT